CTAGTAAGTTTCCAAATAAAATAATAGGCGTTTGGGTAACATTTATGGTTGGTTCACAAAATAACACCACAAAATTAGCCTCGGATCACATTGCTATAAAATTTTATTTATGATATGAACCCCACTTAATGGGATAACCCCAACTGCTGGATTTCACATCTAATAAAAGCTGATTGTGATATCTTATTGCACACTGATTGTGATATCTTATTGCATACTTTTCCCTTATATTTTTAGTGACAATTATAGTTATTGGTATCTTACTACTGTCGAGATTTTATCGGGATATTATCCTTGTTTTCCTTAACAAAAATTTATCAGACAATTATCAGGACTTTAATATATTATTTATCAAAAAATATATTGAATATTAATAAATTGAATTCACATTATTTACAATAAAAACATAAATATGTCACACACACACATATATACAATTGTTTTTTAAAAGAACACTTAAAAAACATCATGAGTGAAGTTCTACAGTATTTCATTCATGGCTCATCACCTTCGAAAGTCCATCAAACAATCACAATTGTCTTATATTGTTTGAATTTAAATTATTTTTTAATTATAATTAACCTCAAAAGAAGGGCAACTAAATTTTTTATTTATTTATTTATTTATTTATATAGCCATGCAATAAGGGAATGGGCAATTAAAATAATTATGATTATTCATACCCTTTTTTAAATATAACCTATAGAATTTTAAGAGGTGTTAACCATGGAAACACACGCACAACATAATAAAGTTCGTACTACTTTCAACAAAGTTTTAACTTACATATCTGTTATCAATTCCTTGGGAATTACTCCCACTTATGTTATTCAAATTTTAGAGCTAGTCTTAGGTAGATGCCATATTTCTTTTCGAATTCAAATTTCTAGTTTTACTTTTAGATTATACAGAAGTTATTATCAATAGCAAAGGTTTTCATCATGATAACAACATCGTGTTAAAATTTCATGATAAATTCATTCCACTCGGATATTGCAGGAGTTATCATCGGTAAAGAAATTTATCATGGTAAAATAAAGAAAAGTCCAATTTATAACAAATAATTGCCATAGTAGTTTTAAGTTGTAACAATTGTTATTTAGTACTTCCAATCAAGAAGGGATTGTTACAAAAACTCTCATTTTGATATGGAATTATATATTATAAAGACTATTAACTTTTTGTACAAAGAGGTTACAATTACCTATAGCCATCAAATGTGAAATCTAGCAGTTTGGATATGCCACACTGTTCGAAAAATTTTGTTTTTATATTTTATGCCCAATCAGACATACACCCCAAACCCTCCAATTCCACATCTAATAATCAATAGTAATTGTGTCCTCCTTATACTAAAACAAACAGTCTTACTATATACTTCCCTTGAGATATAGTAGCCATGAGCCATTTTATGATGCAGTTTTCTTCGAACTTTGCTAACATAGCTCATCAAACACTTTACACCCTCTATAACGGTCGCAAATGCATCTAGGATGACTATCTATACCGGTGGCAAATGCATCTAGGATGACCATTAGCACTACATGACACTTATGTGAGGTTTGTGGGCTAGATCTGAGTAACTTGGGTATGTGGGCTTTTAGCCATGATGTGTTACCATAGACAATTCCATAAGTTATCCCTCGTTGAGGTTGGAAATTTGCCTACTGGTATTGACTAAGAGGCTTATATATTCTACTCCTATGGGAGGACGACAAAAGCCTATGAGTACAAAGGTGAAATCCTCAACTACCGGTCCCATGACATGTAATTATAGTATAAGCCCATCAAAAGCAGCCCTAAGGAGAACATCTACATGTGTAATAGGAGATATTACTCCCTACACTAAATGTACATAATGTCATCAAGGAGACATTACTTCCTTAAATGGACATAATGTCATCAAGGTGACTTGAAATCTGTAATTGGATACAGAGTCCTGACACCCATTAACCAATTTTGATGGATCAATCACCTTAAATGGACACGACTTGTCATTAGGAAGACACTTGAAATCCACAATTGGATACAGAGTCCTGATACCTAATTACCATTTTTTATGGATCAATCATAAACGCTTGTATTGGACTTGTGGTCATGGGTTTCTATTGGTTGGTTTGAGAAAATGGCCCCAGGGTTTCATATAGTGATGAAGTGGAGTACCATGACTTTATTGCGAATTAACCCTAAAGTACCATATTTTTTAATTTTCCTTCAAAAACTTTCATTTGGAAATTCATTAATGGTTTTAAAATGATTTTTTTTAAAAAAATGAAGTTTTTAAAATTATTTTTCGAAGAAAAATAAGCTTGAGTTGTATAAAGCTAAAAATAATTTAGCAAATAACAAATCAGTCCGGGCTAGGTTTAAAGTACCCACATGCGGACTCACTGGCCACATGGCACCACATGAGGCCTAATTGGACTCATTTAGGTGGATTTTGTTGATCCACATCACCTACTTAAGGGGGGGATGTCATTTTCTTTGTATTTGCTTTTGTTTATAGACTAAACCATGCTATGTTCATGCGCTTAAAAAACTAAGGAAATTAGAAGAATTGGGCTTGATCATGTCATTTAACGATGGCATGAGAAGGATTTCATTAATGTATTTAAAAAAATAAGGGCTAATCACATGGGATTGTCAATAAAGAGATCATTTACCTTTTGTACAAAGAGGTCATAATTATTCTCACCATTAGATGTCAAATTGAGGTGAATATCGAAGTTCGATATATATTTTTTGGAACTTTATGTCTAAAATCAATGACACTCTTACAACCAATCATTTTGAAATCTATAGGATAAAAATGATTGTGACCTCTTTATACAAAAAATAAACAATCTCTTTATAGACAATCCGTAATCATGTAAATAAGATAATAAGGTATATTTCCATTCTATCTAATGGTTAATGATTTAGGAATGGATGGCCATAATGAATTCAATCTCTTTACATCAAAAGTATCCGGAGAGGATGAGATTCATGCAGAATAGTAGATCCAAGCTAGTTCAAGATCATCTTTATCCTAGATAGGAATTTTATTTATGGATCTTGATGTTATCAATTCATCCCATTGTTCACAAAATCACCCAATCTAACTGCTAACCGCTCGGTTAGATCAGGTTTTAGGTGGTTAAGGTGATCAGTCGGTATTTTTTAAAACATTTAAAAAAATGTATATAAATTCTCAAAAATAAGAAATTTGATTTGTAATGCATTTTTAAATATTCTTTATATTATGGTAAAGATTAAAAATTGTTTTGATCATTGATACTCACTTTTATATTTTTCCATCTGTTTTAAAAAAATTTAAAAATAACCATTGAAAAATATAAAATGGGTTAAAATCCATTTTTTCATTAATTTTCAACTTCATTTGAATACGTTTTGTTTTAATCAGTTTTTATATATTTTTCATATTTTAGTAGATTTTTTTGTAATTTTTTTAACACTTTGTTTACCCCCCGAGACTAGCCCGGTTAGAGCGATTAAATCAGCCGGTTTATCAATTAGGTCGGTTAAACCACTTCCAAGCCCACGTTCGATTAACCGTTTCGATTCAATTTTGCAAACACCGGTTCATCCTCATCAGATCCAAGATCATCTTTAGCCTCGATAGGAGTTTTGTCGGTGGATCTTGATGCTATCAATTCATCATCGAGCCTTTTCCCAACTAGGTTGGCTACACGAATCCTTGTCAATCTTTTCTTGAATTATCTGAAAAATTCATGACGCTTAGATACCTTCATAATCACTGGATCATGAGGTTATCATACAAAGGTTGAATGTTGATCATCTAAAATCAGCTGTATGGATCAATATACTATGTTTTTACTGCTAATAAAATAATCATATGGAAGCTTATTACTAGTTTGGTTGTGCATTAAGAGATTGAATGGTCGATTAGGTTCTAGCTATGTAAGTGATATAATTAGTTCTAGTGACATGCTCACATGTTCAATTGACATGTTCAATTGGGGATGTGGCGCCGACATAATTAAGAATTTTGTCACTACAACTCGCACTCATTTACAAATGAAAAACGTTACCGTAAGACCATGCTTTGGTGAAGCATGTAAAGTCATACCTCAAAACCCTGATGTAAAAGTGCAGTTCTTATGCCAAAGACTTAAATTAATTATCTCAATATCAATTCCCACCATTAACATATCGAAATATAATTAATTATCTCAAGATTGGCAAAAATAGATCTTAGAAGAAGAAAAAGGATTTTAAACCCTAAAAATAATGTATTTTAAAATACATTATCTAAACTATCCAACTTCAAGTGTTTATAGATCCGCCAAATCTGCACCACACCTTTTTTGTAGCTTCACATTTCATTATTAGGGCAATAAATTGATTGTCAAGACATCAGTGAGGTCTCCGACACTGATTGCATTTTCCAAAATACGATTTTGAAGTGTTGTTTTATTTAAGAGAAAGGCCTCCTAACCCTTTATAAATTCCAGTACTAAAACCAATTGATATAGGTACAAAGCTAGAAAAGAATGTTGAAAGTTGATTTCCAGGAGTTTCAAAGAGATCAATCTCTCTGGAACAGCAACCAAATGAACTGTTTCAATTGGCACATCATATAGTAATTTGATTTTTTTGGAGCACAAGCGGGATGACCAAAATCTACATGGAGTGTCTTCAAACCAAATTTCAAATTTATAAAGTGGGCTTACATAGTAAAAAGAAAGGGATAATGTACTCTGAATATGTTTATGAACACGGTTAGTAGTTTGATGATCACATAGGAACCCAAGTGCACTACTCTACCCTAGTTTGATGATCACATACGAACCCAAGTGCCCCAACTAAGATCTAGACTTCCATTCTCACCTAACGCATTCAAAAACTACTAACGATTTAAAAACGGGTAGGGAATCATCATCCCCACTGAATTACCCAAAAAAAAAAATATAATAAGAGTAATGGCATCAAAGAAAAGCCAAAGCTTAGCAGCAATTATTTAGTATCTAAATTGAGGATGCTCAGTAGAGAGAGATTTTATTTGCAGCCAGAATTATGGAATTACTGCACCTTGTACAACACTACGATGGCGTGGACAACCAAGGCTTCCACTTGAAAGTCCCACTTACCATTCCCCTTCATAAAAACCTGATATGAGGATGCAGGAATCAGTAATAAATTTCAATGTGTAGTTGGTTTCCACTTTCAAGAGAGAGAGAGAGAAAGAGAGAGAGAGAAAGATATGTCATGGGCCACTAAAGCTTGTCATCCCAAAAACTCCTCCATTAAGCCCTGGCATTGACAGAACAAAAACAAGCAAATTATTTATTTTATTTTATTTTATTTTTTTGGTAAGTACAATGGAAAGCCAATGTTGAATGAGCTAATTGCATAATTTCAAAAAACTAAAAGTACAGAAAGTAAGAGAAGACCTGAGAAATCAATGGTTCTGCGTCTGATCGCTTCAGGGAGTGAACCGAATTGCGAACAAGTGATATTACCTGATCACCCAATAGTACTTCCCCTATATCATCTATAACTCTGACTTGAATATATGGATCCTTTGGAGGAACCATGTCCTGTTCAAATAGCATCTTCATCTATCAGATCATAACAGAGAGAGAGAGGGACAGAAAAGGGGGGAGGGGGCTTGCAGAGAGTAAATGACAGTTTGTTTGTTCTCCACACACCCAAACCCACATATATATAGATGAGAGAGAGAGAGAGAGAGAGAGAGCAAATGCATGTTTCCACTCACTAACCACTGTAAGATCAATATCCATTGCTGACATATATGATTCTAAAGCAGCAGAGTGTTTCTTGAAATACTCTTCCTCAGAGTGAGTCATTTTACCCTGAATTTCCACGGGAAGTACACGCCCAGCCTTCCATCTCAAGCTCCTTATCATTTCTGCACGGTTGTACCTGATTGCACGATTAGTTACATGATGAAAATGCAACATTTATGGAGATCAAAAGGCCAAATATACTATAGAAATGTCATAGTTGGCAAACTCGCAACATAAACTACAGAATAAGAAACTCAAACTAATTCCTACAAAAAATTATTGTTTTGAAACAAGTCTCAAACACAAATAAAACCAGGTAGAATCACTTAGAAGAGTGAAAGATAAGAAAATGCAAAAGACCCATTCAAGGTCCCCTTGAAAATGAAAGAAAAATACAGTTGATATATATAAATATATATATAGAGAGAGAGAGTTACACACACATGTAGAGAGAGAGAGACAGAGAGAGAGTTTAAGGATCAAGTACTTACATATAAGACATGAGGCAGCGCTTATTGCGTATTAAAGAGAGATGATGAATGACAGCACCAAAGTGATCTGCATTTCTAGTCCTTTCAATATCTAAACCGTCATGCTTGATTTTCCTGATATTAAAAAATTACTACAAATGATAAGTTTACATCGACAGCTGCACTAAATTTATTGAAATTTAATAGAAGAAACCAATGTCAATTTCGGATTTCAGACTAATTCTGTCTCGGCCGAAACAGAAAATTGGAAATTGAACCAAAGTTCAGCAACATAAAAAAGTATATTTCTTTTTAAAATAAGAGAACCTCTCTGATTTTAAGTAGACCTGTTTCTTTAAACGTTAATGATTGCTAACTTGAAAATAAGAAAAGTAAAAGAATTCAAATAAATATTCGCAAATATGTGCTCTGAATTGCAGCGAACATCTGAAAAAACTCAAAAACAACAAAAATAGACCAGCTCAGATGTAAACAATTCCATGACTCATGCTATGGACAAAAAGGGATACAGTCGATACTTGTAAGAATACTAAGACGATAAGAACTGAGCACATTACTCGAAAAGAGATGTAAGTTGAAGCTTGTGTTCATTGCATTCTCTTACAACTTGGTCAAACAAATCATTCTGCAAGATGAAATATGGTAGTTACATTGCAAATAAAATGAACTGAAAAATTTTAAAATTGAGAAAGATGAGCTAAAATAAAAATATACCAACATCTAAGTAGTATTGTGTTTCTTGGAACACAAACAAACTTATGTTGCAAGAAACCCAAACATACCATTAAACTTGGTTTGTGTTTCTAGAAACTTGAGGCACAAGTGCTAAATTCAGAATCTAAAGTAAAACCAGACAATATAGTCATATAGATACAGTCAAAAATTAAAAGAAGCATATCACAGGGAATTAAAAAGAAATGAACAGAACTTGAACTGCCTTAGCTAGGTAAGTGGAGGATATATTAATTTATCAGCTGCCATTGCAGGCAGATGCAATAACACTTTGAAGGTAGAGAAGAGGAGTTTAAAACATAAAAAACATTCTATAAAAATGCCAAGACCAAATATTCCAGGGTGATTCACATTCAAAACCCACAGTCCAAATGATATCAATCAATTTCCAGTGCTCGCCCCAGTCACTAATATGGATCCAAGGCTTAATATGGAACAAAAAAATTCAAAATGTCGAGAAAATCAAATAATAATTCCCTTATTGCAAACAAAATAAAGAAAGAAGGGCAGGCGAAGGTTGTCTCTTACCCAAAAACCGTACAAGAGGGCATTAAAGAAGAACTTTCTGGACAGAACTTTCATGGAACTGAGGCTAGAATTATAAATGTTTCTCTCCAATAGAAATCCAAACAAGAATAACATTAGAGAGAAAGGAACCTAAACATTGCTGATGAAGCATATGGCTATAGAGAAAAGGGAACGCAAGTAGAATATTCTATGTTTCATGTTTTCCCAAACTTCCACAATATTTTTGCCATGACATGTGGAACCTCCAAGTGAGGGTACTCCATCACAACGACCCTCCATCTGCTATCCAACAAATTTTGCTCTAGTTCTCATAAAACATGTTCACATATTCCACGCTCATACAAAATTCCACCATGCTTTGAAACTTCTAGATGATAGTACAATTTACATATTCCCCCTTTGAATGCACCTCCAATATGTTCAATAAATATAATGCTAAGAAATAAGGTTAACATTCTCAAAAAAAAAAAAAAAAAAAAAATATATATATATATATATATATATATATATATATAT